GTCTATGAAATGTCTCTTTCTTCCCTTTACCACTCGCACAAGGTTTTAATGATCCCGAAGGAGGTTGACAACTAATTGGATAGGAAACATTAATCTGACGATAAGCTAAGCACTCGTAGCCTAATTTGCAACAGATGACACCGAAGGACATTACTGACGAAGACAAGGGAGACTAGAACGGTCATTTCGGGCTTGTTAGCCGTCATCAGACAGTCATACTCATCTTTAAGTGGTGCACCACCCGAGTCGACCTGTTGGTCAACAGTCCAACGCGCTTATCCATTAAGCTGTGAGCGGGTTGTCATGCCAGTTTCGATTGGGAGTGTAAGCATTGGTGTATAGGCATAGGCGCTTCATCCATCGGTCACGGAACTCACCACCCATTTCAATCTGCCTTAGGGCACACACTTGAATCTCGCCAACAGCCACGCAGTGAATAGCATTATAGTCAGAAGAACAAAGGAGACTGGAATGGCCATCATCAGCCAGCCAAATTGGTGCTACTAGTCGCAGTGCGGCTGCTGACCGGGTTCGAGAGTCGACCACAAGGCACAACGAACCGAATGGTGTCTGACGACCTCGTAGGACGCAGGTGGGTCGATATCTTAGTTGATCAAGTCGGCGTCAAACTAGCGGGCTTAGATTATGTAACTCGTCATCTTGAATTCGACTCGGCGTGTTGCCAAAGGCCACCTGGGGATACTTTTTCGACAACGTGTATGGCAAAATAAGATCTATTACTATTTTACGGCTAGAGCGCGCTCATTAGCACACCCTTCTCTGCCAGCAGGCAGTATTTGGCCAAACAGCCGACGTTCCTAGGCAGTGTCCGATCTTTGGTGGTCCCTACGGCCTCATGAGACGTCCTTGACATAGGACACGGAAGATTGGAGGTTTGTTTATTGTTAAACGTCTGCCTTCTTGTCTGTTTGGTATCAGTATTTGCTTATTACGCTACTTGGGTATCTAGTGGGTAACAGTAGGATAAACAGTGGACGTTTTAAAAATATACTAAAGTAACTAATACGTGCATTTCAGTGGGCGTAATTATGCCTATTAGTTTTAGTTGACGTAGTAGTAGTTGCAGGCGGGTTGCTTCCACTTCCTGCTACTACGTCCTCGATTTTTAGTTGCAGAATCCTAGCCAAAACTTAGAAGAAAGTGATACAGCTTTTGGCGGATAGAGTTGAGAGGACAGGAACCCAGGCAAGCCCTGATGTGCTCAGGGACTCAAACATGTATTTACTCGGAATAGTTTAAACCCAGATTCAAATTCACTGTTGAGATCAAGGGGGTATAGGTCTCAGACTGAATTTTAATCCGCGTCACTTCTGAATAATACTACCGTCAGAAATAGTATTGGTATGACTAACAGTCAGCTGCATTGCTAATCAGTAGTAATAGAAATAGTAGCAACCATATCAGTCTCGGCCTTCTTGAGCAGGTAGTGCGGTAGTATCTGCGCCAAGTCTACTGTCACTTAAGACTAAGTTAGGCGGGGAAAGCGGCCAACGCTAGATCCAGTCTGGTCTTCTTGACCCATGGTGGAGGTGAAGATTGCGGTTGGCGCTAACTTCGTCTGTTATCACTTTAAAGCTACCCTCTGTAGCCAGTCACCATCACGGCAGCAACCTGTTGGTGTATATGGTGGACTTCCTTGAACTCGATGGTCGAACAATCAAGTACTCGAACGCACTTGTGTTCGCGCGATAGGGAGCGCTTGCTGTTGTAGTGATCGACTTTCTCAGTCTTTGACGCTTTTTGCAAGAAACTAGTCTGGATGACACCTAGTATACTCGGACAGCAAGGAAAGGGTGCTCTCCAGCCTCTATTTTCCTTCCTTCCGGTTCCATATTTACGTTTACTGAGCCAACAGAGCAGAAAGGAATTTCGTCAGTCAACTGCCACAAGCTGTATCTACAGGCAAGTGTCAGTGCCAGTGTCCGACATTTGGACAGATTCTTAGTTTTCAGGACGTGCGCGGCCAATCACTTAGTGCCACGAGACTAATGCCAAGTCTCGCGCAAATTCGTGAGACACGTGAAGCATACAGAAAGGCTGCGTGATTGGGCGGTAGCGATCGCGGGAGTGGACTGTTACACCCAGATGACATAGACCTCCCGATAAGGATAGGTATGGTTCTCATCTTACCTTGTTTAGCATACATAACTACCTACTTATTTAGTATTAGTAAGCATGATTAGTTATATTACTTTAGACAGGTCTCCCTCACTGTAATCTACTTAAAACTCTGCAAACGCTGTTTCCCCGAGGGAACTATGAGCGTTTCTGACATCTGCTTGACTGACAGCCTAGTTGTTCTATTTTTTTTTCTTTTTTTAGCGCCTTCAGACAGGCCGAGTAGTCAGGCAGGTGTACTATGTACCATTCGATTTCGACCCGGTGATTGCAACCTACGCAAAGAGCCGCCGCCTCATAAAGATCGAAAAATTCTGTCACTGTCGGGTCATCCTCCTGGATCCGACGGACCCTCGATGCGGCTACTGTCCCAACAACTACCGGACTATTGAGGTCAACTTTGACGAGCACTATGGGCACTACCTGGGCTTCAAGGGTCTGCTGAATCAATGCGCAACCTCCAAGATTTACACCGCGCGATTAGCTGCCACCATATTCAAGCGCCTCAGCGGCATCGAAGTGGAGATGGGACCGACGGACATGCTCCTTCTGGAGCGCAGCATGCCCAGGATCACCTACGATGCGATGAGGTCAGATCTCGTGGCCGGCACTGGCCTCGCCATCGCACCAGCGGTAGACTCAGTTTAGTAAATATTTTTGCACCGTTGGAGGTGCGGCATTTTGCCTTTGCATTTCGAGTAATTTATTCTCGTCTTCTTCTGCAC